GCAAAGTAAAAAAAGAACACAAGTTCACCAAGTTATACATTGTATGAGAATGCATATGTAACTCATGTTTTATGACTTGAATGGAAAAGAGAAAAAAAATACAATGCATTTAATAAAACGTAAATTGATACGGCTACTTACGCGGCGGAGGGATGAAGCAGGCAGCAGCACAGTAATAATAGCAGTAGGTCTTGCCGACGTGACAGACATTTTGGCGGCAATTATCTCTGCATTTCTTTTGCTCTTCTGCGAGGGTTGGGAGACCTTGGTCAGCAACTGCACCCACTATAAGGCACACCACCAACAACAATGCAAAGCATTTCCTTGCCATTTCGATTGTTTGATCCTTTGTTCTTCTTTTGTTGTTGTTGGTGATTTATTTTTCCTCTTTCCCTGTCTTTGTCTTTTGCCATTGATAAGTATATATAGCTTCGTTTCGTTGCTAAAATTTGGGGTCCTTGTGTAACGGATTGTCCTAATTTTAAGAAGAAAAAAATTGAATTTAAAACTAAATAAATATTAATTAAAAATGGGATTTGTTGCTTTTTTTTATTCTCTTAGCTTCAGCATCTTCCTCGGTAGCCTTGCAGAGAGAGGAAAGATAGGGCCATGAGCTTGAAAGCCAAGTCATGAAAATAGCGGAATTGGAGCCGAAAAATTGGAGAGTTTCATCGCTGCCCTAAACAAACTTTTCAAATTGAGGATTTATACTAATTTTAAGATTCAAATTTAGACTTGAGTTGCTCGCAATAATAACTTTTTTAGTGAGAAATGGCTTTGTTTTGTATATGAAAAGAAAACTTAAGAACTTTTATTATGCTTGTGTATTTGAATATATGATTTTGTAAGTAAAATTTATTTTTTTAGTTCTCATTTATTAGACTTAAAACTTATAATTTATACAATAATTTATTACCACAATTATGATTTGATTTTAAATTCTTGTTGGATAGATTGGTGAATTTCTGAGTTTTAATGATTTAATTTTTTAAAAGAAGAATATTAGTATTATAATTTTTTAAATTTATTTTTAATTATTTATTAAATTTTATTGAAAATTATAATTGAATTAAAAAGTAACATTAATAATTTAAGGAAAAAAATGAGACTCACATAATTTTTATGATTTTTAATATATTTTAATTAATAATTAAGACTGTGCTGCTAATATTTTTCTATTTTATAATTATTGCATTGAATATATAATTTTTTTTCTGCACAAAATGTTATGAAAATTAGAATATAATCAGGCAAAGTATAGAATCATAGTATGAACATTTTAAACCAAAAAGAAAATTTGGATGGGTTAAAAAACAAATAAGCATTCATGTATAAATTCATTATCCACGTCTTGTCATTTTAAGTGCAGAAATAATTATCAATTTTTCAAGTCTTAACTACATAAATTTGCTACTCACATGAAATTAGATTGACTTACCTGAATTGATACCTTTGAATGCGAGAGGAAAGAACACTAATGATATGGAAAATTTCTCATGCTTTTATTTATATATGCTTTAATCTCTTTACTTTTAATTATTTTTATTTAATTTTTTAAATGCTGATCAATTAATTTTAATTTCTTATTTTCACATTATGTTTAATATTTACAAAAAATATAATAAATATGCAATATATTATTATGATAAATAGATTTAAAACATTACATAAAATATTTACAAAATAAAAAAATACATATAGAACAAACTATGAAAAAAATATTTATACCTTTTTGTTATTTTTCTGTATAAATTTATGTAGATTAATATTATATCACTCGGGGAACCACATCGTGCAGCTCCGATCTTTCTTTATAAATGTTGTATATATATATCATTTTGTTTTTATGTGTTTTTATTAATTTAGTCTTTTAATTTTAATTTTTGATTTTCAATCAGTCCTTTTATTATATCATTGTTAAATATCACTAAAAATTATAATTTTCATTTAAAAATCATTAAAATTTGTTGAAAAAATTCTCTAAATACTGTATTGCGATTTGTGTACTCATTTTATCGATTAAAATAAAATATTAAATTTCGGGAAGAGTTATTGTTTTTATCAAACTTGAGTTTTGAATATGCTGATTTTGCATGAAATGCCACAGATTTAGTTGGACCACATATGAATTATGTTCCATTTCTAAACTAAATAAAAAGGCAAAAGTTTTTTAAATCTAAGAACGGTAATGATATGGTTTGATGATAAAGAAGTTAAGTTGTTGCAAGGAACTAGGCTAGAGAACACTGTTCTGTTTCTGTGGAGAATCTATCAACCCCCTTCTGTTGACATAAAAGGAATAATTTTATTACTCAAAATGGAGGCCCCTCTAACTAGTTTCTGTTTTGAAATTAGATAGAAATTAAAAAAACCAGAAAGCTTTTAAATTTAAGAAAGGTGATGGTGCTGTGGATAGGTTCGATGGTAATAAAGGTATGGTGTTGCAAGGAACTAGGCAAGATGATAGTTAGGCAAATCACTGCGGAGGAATTGTGTCTTGTTCATCCATAACTTTTTGTTTTCAGTAGAAGACTTGTGTTCTACCAACTTGTCCTGTACTAGGACAGCATAACAATTACGATACAGTTGACAACTCTCAACAACCTATGTACTGTCTGATTATATTGATACAGTTCTTGTTATGACCAAATTAGTATGTATTTTCTACCAATCTCCCCTACCCCCTGTCTTGTTTCAAATTCTCATAAGATAAATACGCCCCCTATTAAAAATTTTATCCCTTCCTTACAGAAAAATCGAAGACTAGGGAATATGGCATAATTTTTCAAAACAAGTGAGCGTACTGTAATTAAAGAAAACCTTGGAAACTGGAATCGATCCCAGGTTGATGGAATTTCTAATTTAATATTCAATTATGGTTGATGAGTGTTTCGATTTTGCATGTAAGTTCACGTATTTAGTTCTATCTTATTCTTGGTGTTGGTCTCTTGGTCTTGTTCTTGTTTTGTTGGTTTTATTCTTATGTTCTTGTTCTTCGTAGGTCTTACTCATAATCTTGTTCTTGTTCTTGGTCTTTCGTTCTTGATTTCGGGCTTGTCCTCATTTGTTTACTTGTTCTTGATCTTGCCCTCATTTTATGTTCTTTTTCCTGTTTTGTTGGTCTTAATCCTAATCTTGTTGTTGGTCTTTCGTTCCTGCTCTCGGTCTTGTCCTCATTTATTTACTTGTTCTTGATCTTGCTCTCATTTCTGTTCTCTTTCTTGGTCTTGATCTTGGTCTTGTTCTTGCTCTCGTTTGTGTTCTTTTTCTTGTTCTTGATCTTGGTCTTGGTCTTGGTCTTGCTCTCGTTTGTTTGTTCTTTTCTTGTTCTCTTGCTTGCTTTTATTTGTGTTCTTGATCTTGCTCTTGTTCTGTTTTCTTTGTTCTTCGTTCATGCTTTGTTGGTCTTAGTCTAGTGATTGTTCTTGTGTTCTTTGTTGGTCTTAGTCCTAATCTTGTTTTTGTTTTTGGTCTTGGTGTTGTGTTCCGTGTTCTCGTACGTTCTTGCTCTCGTTTGTTTACTTGTTCTTGCTCTAATTTGTGATTTTGTCCTTGATCTTGGTCTATTTCTCGTTCTTGCTCTCATTTGTGTTCTTGTTCTAGATCTTTCCCTTGTTCTTGCTCTTATTTGTGTTTTTTTTTTCTTTATCTTTGTCTCGTTCTCGATCTTGCTTTTATTTGTGTTCTAGTTCTTACTGTCATTTGTGTTTTTGTTCTTGATATTGGACTCGTTCTTGCTCTTATTTGTGTTCTTTTTCTTGTTCTGAGTCTCTTTTTCTTGTCTTTTCTCTTCTCTATTTCTGTATACTTATATACTTATCAGTTTTACCTTTGGTGACTCTTGCAATTTATCAAGATCAATACTTCTTCTGCTATAAAGCTATCATAGATGAACTGAAAGACCTTGTATCTCAACAGTAATAAGAGTAGCGAGGTACGTATACTGCTTCTACTATATTCTTTAATCTACTATATCCTTGTTAAAATTATTCTTTTTTCTGCTGATGAATTACTGTACTGTGTGATGTAAATCCAGTGTCGGCCAAAGGTATTAAACTACTTGCTTCTTTCATATTCTATTTGGTTCCAGCAATGCATTATGTCTCCCAGCAGCTGAGTCTGAAGCATTAGCATTCTTGAGATAATGTCATTGTGATCGACTTTTTAAAAGAAAAAATGATCATTTTTTAAAAGTAGAAATTTATTAGAAGCTGATAGAAAGTAATTATTCTCTCAAAGTAAGTTATTCTTTGGACATGATCTGAAACTTCTAAGGTGATTGTTAATTACCTATTTGTAAGTCTGTTAACATGATCTATCCAATAGATTGCAGATAATTGTTGGGTGTCAATGGGTAGGGACGGACAACAAAATGTATCAAGAAATAAAACACCCATAATAGTTCGTTTTAAAGTTATGTGAAATTAATAGAATTAATTTTAAATTATTGAGAATTTAAAAAATATAATCAAATTAATTTCATTTATAATTTTACATTGGAACATATGTTCATTATTAAATAATATGAGAATTGATTTTTCAATATATTCCAAAATAAACAAGGTTACATAAGGTAGTCCGGTTTAGCAAAGAAAAAGTCTCAAGCCATTTGGAAATTTAAAAAAAAAATGAAAAAAGAAAATTCCCATGGAGAATAGATCACAGAGATAAGACTCTATATTCAGGGCAAATGATTGATAAATATTTTTCCCCTTCCTTTCTTGGTTCAGAAAAAAAAATGAACAAACTGATTCCTAAGTTCTAACAGAATACAAATAACTTAATTAACTTCTAGTCAATAAAACAATAAGAACTCTAGTATTCATTTTTTCATGTACATTGCAATGCAAAAGCTTTTTTATTTGATAAATACTCCTCAAATATGGGGTCTGAACCAATCATATAAAAATCCCTACGCAATAACCACACTGGAAAGAATATGTAACAACATATACATATATATATAGATACTTGTACATAGGATATGCCAAACACACAACCTAGTAGTATTTGAGAACAGTATATCCAAGTGCAATCAATAGAAGTGAAGATGGGACATTGTAAGATGTTATGGCAGATGATGGAGTCAGATCAGTGCGGCCACTTCCCGTTGATACAGATGGGTTGCCAGAATCCACCGATGGAGATGGTGGAGTCAAAAGAGGAGGAGTTGTGTCAGACTGTGGTGCCACAGAAGGTGAAGTAGGAGAGGGAAGGATAGTAGAAGCTGCTCAAAGAAAAATTAGTCTGATATTAGTATCATACACTATATATTGAAGCTACTCTTAGCACTCAAAACCGTTACAATATTTGCATCTATGTATTAATGAAGTTAGTAACCTTGAGGACTAGGAGTTGGAGTAAATCCAGGAGGAGAAGATGGAGCTGATGCAGGTGAAGGAGATGGTCCAAGAGCCACTGGTCCTGCGAATATATATCAAAATCATTCAATAGATTAATTACAATGGATTAAGATTTATATAAGAATTTTTTTGCAATATATATATATTGAAATAGAAATGGAAATTTTGCGTTTTGGCTTACCTGGAGCAGGGAGTGGTGAACCCGAGGCTGCAAAATAAGTAAGGGGAAAAGAATAACACATCTTAGCCTTACCGATAAACATGAATAAGAATAAAATTTAAGAAGATTTTTATGTAATTATATAGTTTCTCGGCTTATTTTTACAAATGTGTTTTATTATTAAACTTCCAAAAGATTAGATTGAAGTGAAAAACATTACAATTATAATTGAAATCATGTTAATAAACTTAAAAATCGTTACTAAATTAAGTAAAGACAATGAAATTATATTACATAAATAAAAGAAAAAGATTGAAGAAAAAATTACCTTTGCATTGAACTGGGACACCAGGCATGTTGCATGCACGAGGGAGAGAGATGGCCACGGTTCGGTTAACTGGAATTCTGAAGGGAACGCTGCCAGTGACAACGAGACACAAACAGTCCATGCCACCACTTGTGAGGGACTTGAGGGCACTGCAACACTCCGTAGTTGGTGAGGTGCCATTGGGACTACTATTTGTGAGGAAATTCATACAAGGTGTGAAGAAAGTGCTTAGCATTGAAACGTTACATGGGGTGCTAATTTGGGCGTATGCTGGTGCACCCATCACCATAGCCATGGCTAGTACTAGGGCTAGAGGTCCACATTTTGCCATGTGTGTTGTCCTTTATGTTTTGGCAAAGAATTTGGAGAAATTAAGAGAATTTGTGGGGTTTAAGATGTACAGAAGAAAAATGTATTAGGAAGTTTTGATGGTTAGGCTAGAGGAAGATTAAGGGAATTTATAGAATGGAAGGTATCAATGAGAGAAACGAAGATTAGGAAGCTTCAAAGTTGGTTTAGAAGCTCAACTACCTAAACCAATCAATGCGAAATGGAAGAGTTTGAAGTAGGTTTGATTGGCATGTTATTAGTGACATCGGCAGAACCCACTTTAGCCAAGCATTTTATGCTCAACAAGTGGCATCCAAAACGTCTTACCCTGATTAGGTGTCAAACAATGTTGGGTTTTTGACATCATCCATGTCATATAATGCTTTGTTAGTTCAGCTGTTCAGGTGGATAACTGAATATTACACCAGCTTCCTAGTTCCTTTTCTTTCTTTGTTTCCTTTATTTATTGGCTTTTCATTGTATTTTATTTTCGGCAGTACCAATATAATATATTTATCTCCCATAGTCAATAATTCTTCTAATCCTTTTTTCTGGATCTTGCATTTTTAGTTAGGTCCGTGTATTAGTTTTACTTCCCATTTTTGGTCTCTGTGTATGCATCTTTTGAGATTAGGCTCGGTCAGTTGTTTTTTTATTCTTTCGAACAAATGTCAGTAGCCTAGTCTTAGTTGTATGTTTTTTTTCGGGGGGTCAAACTATGACTTAGTTGAAATGTGCTACTGGGGAACACAAACCCACCTAAATGGCCTTATACCCAGGCCTGCTTTTTCAGAAAATATATTTCAGTGGAAATTCAAGTAAAATTGGGCTCTGAGAAAAAAAACTAATATTGGTCTAAGCCCAAGCATCTGCCATCAAATATCTAACCTTGTTTTCTAAATATATTTACACACTAAGCTTTATACAGATGTTTCGGCTATGGCCCAACCTTCATTACTTCAAAAAGGATCAAAATATTTTCGCCACAGGCTTGTATATATAATTTTGAAAAGTCACAAGATAGCATTTCGTTTGGTAATTATTTTAACAATGGTTCATATTCTATCCACGAGGCTCTTTAATATATTTTAAATATTAATTATATTTTAAAAAAATATTATTATGGACCAAAAAATTATTTATTATTAAATACATTTTATGTGAAGTCTATTAATTTTTTTTACACTTTAACAATTTAATTTTTTTTATAATTTTATAATCAATGAATAATCTTTTCTAAGTTTATCCTTATCAACGAATGAGCGTTTGGTTAAAAATATGTTTTTCTTTTTAGAAGTTATAAGATAAACGAAAAATATAACAGAAAATTAAGTAATGTTTTTTATAAAAATTAAAATACTAACTATTTTTTTACTATAGTATAATATCTTAAACGTCAAAAGGAAAAAAAAATGAAAGGAGAACAAAGGCCAAGACTTTTTCAAAAGTTAAAGAGTGTAGTACAAGCAGTTGAAATTAACTAGGTTCTCCATATGTACCAGTCTCTCTTTTTCAAAAGACACTTGTACATGGTAATTACAAGAGAATTCCATACCCAATTCCCTGGACCTGCTTAGTTGCATCTTAAATGTGGCATCCAAATTTCCCTTGACGCTGTTTCCATTCCACAAATTTCTTATGTTGACTTCGGATTGCCAAAGACAAGTTACACGAGCCAAAATCAATAGATTAAGCGTAAAAAACACGTAGTTCGTTTTATGGAGTCATGTTTTCAAAGTCCATGATTTCAACTTCAAACAAAAAATGCTCGACAAAGTTCCATCAATCTAAAATCTTAAAGGTTGGTCATCCACATAACCGATTCATCCTCAGACTTTTCTATGCAAGCTAGCTAATTTAATAGACCAAGGGTCCAAATCTAAGCGTCTGAAAAGCTTAAAATACAAGGGTGCCACCAAATACCAAATACTAATAGATCCCATTTGGGATTAGTTAACCCACATAACCTGCCTATTTTTCTTTCTTCCCCTCTCATCACTATAAAAAGCCAAACAACCATCTCTTTGTTACACCAAATACTAGCTGAGGTTATAGTCATAAACAATATCCGCTTCTCAGTTAAAAGGATTGAACCATATTTGTATAGTTCCAATGGCACAGGGGAAAATGAAGATGGGTCTAGTTTTGGTAGTAATGGGCATCCTATATGGAGAAGCTGCGGCACAATCAAGTTGCACAAGTGTGTTAGTGACCCTCTCACCGTGCCTTAACTACATCACTGGGAACTCCTCAACCCCATCTTCAGGATGCTGCTCACAGCTAGCCAGTGTTGTAAGCTCACAACCACTGTGTCTGTGTGAGGTTCTTAACGGGGGAGGATCATCACTCGGAATCAACATCAACCAAACCCAGGCTCTAGCCTTACCTGGTGCTTGCAATGTGCAGACCCCACCCATCTCCCAGTGTAATGGTAAGTAAAATCACTAAGTTTCTTCTATGCTCATCATATTAAACTGAATTTTCCTGTCACACGTACTTGCCAAATATTCACTCTTCTAACAATGTAAATAAAAATGGGATTTAAATCTTTCCAAGTTGTTAACATGGTCATGAAAACGAAAGGAAAAGTATGACTTTTATTAAAGGAACTACCATGATTAATTGAAAGACCTACTGATTAAATTTAATAGCATTTAAAATATCTAAATTCATAAATATTAACCTCTAACATCAATAAGATAGAATGTAATTATAATTCATATATATATATATATATATCTTGGTGCTAATTAAATTGCATAATGGTTTGTGATCAGCTAATTCGCCAGCAGAATCTCCTAATTCGGATCCATCAGGTAAACAAAGTTAATTCAACAAGTTGAGAAAGTGATATTTGCAACCCTAGTTTTCCATGTTAAGCGTTAACAATGATTTGACAATAATTTGCAGGAACCGTACCCACAACAGACAATGGCGCGTCCGGTGGAACTTCGGTCAAGTTATCGATTCCTCTGCTGTTCATTGTTTTTGCAGCAACATATTCTTCATCAATCCGTTCTTCTCTCATTTAATATGATATCGACTACATGTGTGTGAAAATGGATATGTCATTTTGTTCCTTAGTTTCAAGAGTACGCCCATATTCATTTATTTGACCTGTTCTTGGTTACATAATTTTGTATTGTCGAGAGATATTCATTCTCGCCTTCACCAATAAATATGGATTGTTATTTGTACATGTTTAGTTCCTTTAAATTGAAGAAATTGCATTTTGAAAGATAAATTTAATTATAATTGTTTATTAAAAGATTATTGATTAAAATTTTAATGATTTTATAATTTGTTATACATGTATATTTAATCTATCAAATTTTCAATTTGTTAAAAAAGTAATTTAAGGATTATAACTATACTTTTTTTTAAGTGCAATCTTCATTTTAGAGGATATAAATCTTATTAGATTTAACTTTGATAGAATGTTAGTATAAAAATAATTATGTTATTAACTAGTTAAAAGTATCTTAAATATAACTTTTAAAGAAATTATAATATTTTTTAATTATATTACAATTTATTATTGAATAAAGATATAAAAAAATCATGATCAATGTATTCTAATAAAATTCAATATTATTTTATTAAATAAATAAGTTTGTTAGTGATGCACTTTAGAGACAATTCCACATCAAGTAAATAATTAATTAAATTTAGACTTATGTTGTTAAGTAATATGATATAATAAACAATTTTTAATAAAAAAAATAATATAGTTATAGAACTCATTATTAAATTTGCTAAAAATTATATATCTTTCTCTCAACCTCGTTATCATAATACTCAACAATACAATACAAGATGATTCAAATTTAAACCAATTTGGTTTCCTAAAAATATTATATTGATATTATTCCTGTTAAAAAATATATTGTTTCATAAGGGTTTGGAATGTAAATAATCATTTTTTGTAACTCAAAAATGTTAGGGGGAATATTATTAGTATTTTGAAGACAAAAAACATTGATGACACAAAAAAAAAGAAGAAGCATTACATAAGTCTTTAAAATACGTATTCCGTTGATTAAATTAGTACTTCATTTAATGACATTAATAATTAAGTTGACACGCATATTTTAAAATATTTATTTAACATTTATAATTATTACACTTTAGGAAATAATCAATAGACAGTGTACAATTGTTAAAAACTGATAAGAGGTATCCAATCCAACCTTTCTACTATAAAACAATTTGCGACATCAGAAAATATGAAACAATTTATGCAAGAGGGGAAAAATGATAAGCTGTGAAATATTAAAGAATTAAATATATTTTAGATTCATAATTAAATTTTTAATAATTTAAATTTGTTATTATTTCTAGCCTTATAAATTTTGAAAATATTAAAAATAATTCTTATCATTTTGTTAATAATAACATAACATGTATTTATGTCACAAGAACAATTATTTTAAAATAATATGAAATATAATATGCCTATGCATATATAATAGGATTTAATTAGAATTCATTAATAGTATAATTTTTTACGAATTATAAATTGTTATATCAATAAAATTATTATATCAATAAAATTATTATTTTTATAATAATTAATTTGGAAATTATATTTATAATGTATTATAAATAATTAATAGTATAAAAATATTTACAAGATACATAGTAAGCAAACCTTAAATGATGTGTTATTAATAACAAGTGACTAGAATTTTATATCCGTGCAGCCCAATCAACAATTAGTCGCCAAGACCACACTAAATTTGTATTCGGTTTTAAGAAGACATCAACAACTTTTTGTCAAAAGAGAAGACCCCACCACCTGAAACACTGTGATCAGCAAAAACAATACGGGCTATTTTTTCTAGTCCATTGTTGGGCCAATCTCTGTTGTAAAAACTAGTAGGAGACATGTTGGACAAAACATTGTGGGTATCTGTAGTTTTTGTTTTCGTCAAAATTGCATTCTACTGCTTCATTTGAACGTTAATTCAAATACATAATTTAACTATCTTCATTGACACCCAAAAAAAGTTCATATGTTAAATGAACTACAAATTACATTAATAAGTTTAATGAATTGGGAAATAGCTACTTCAAGTTCAGTGGATTTCGTAGTCCTAACATTGGTGCAAGTTTGTACGTGTGTGTGTGCATATATATAATGGATGAACGATGAATCACTATTAATGCAAGAAATGAAAACAAACATTTCCATATATTATTGAGAGGGAAGCAATACACAGTCCATGACAAATGAAAATTTATTATATAGATGCACCTAGGCAATGTACAGAAACCATAGGCTACCTGCTTACAGTTTATCATTTCAATTGAGCCTCGGAAAATGACATATCCAATATGGCGTTCTTTTCTTTTGATGTTTTGCTTCCCTGCCTATTGAATTGCTAATTGGTCCTACTTGTTTTTCTTTTAGACTTTCAACTTCTTTTTCATATAGCTTCATTTTCACAATTCAATTTGTGACTGGACCAAAGATGTATATATGATGCAAATTGTTTTTTGTATGACCCACATCCACATATGGGAATTGAGAGCTACATACAAGTGGGCTTGGATTATAATTTCAATATTTGGTCGCAATCAAGCTTTTGTCATGACAAGTAATAACCTCCTTTTCCCTTTTTCCTTTTTTTTCTTGCGTTTTTCTGCCATCCCTCTCTATTTGATGCCTTGAGCATCTTCTGGCTGTATGATTTGAACTTGTTTAGACATTTTCAAATAATTATATCAGTTTTCATTAATCATTAAAATATAAAAAGGGATTTCGTCTTTCATAATTAGAAATCACCACAGTAGCATCCTTCATATGTATTTCAGTGTTAAATAGTAATTAATTAATGTACATTCTCTCGTTCCTTACATTATCTAGTTAACTTTTCATTTGCTAAAGCATGGAAAGTAAACAAAATTTAAATCCCGAGGGTGTGATTCGTTTGATAAATTAAGCTTCATGTGACGTACTTTACATATATTGTGTAGAATGAAAATATATTTAAAGTAGTTTTTAATTAGAGTGATGAGCATGCATGTCTAAAAAATCTATACATATGTAGTATGTCTAAATGAAATTTATTCTGTACCTAACAAATGTGGTGATAAGAAAATAAAATATTAGTAAATGCGGATATATACATATTTTTTAAAATGAGATACAAAGTACAAAATGTTTTTTTAATATGATGTCAGCGACTATTATAATTAATTAAAGAAAAATATAATGTGTTTAAGAAGTATCATTGTCAAGGGAAAAAATACAAGAAAAAGAAAGATATTTGTTTTACTTCTAATCTTAAACTTGAAATGATTGACATAAATGAAAAATGTAGCCTCTGCTTTTTTATTTTGCTTTTTCGTTTTTTTATTTCTTAAAAATCTATAAAACACTGTTGCGCACTGTATAGGCACACATTTGATGGGAGGTTTAGTTCAATTATTTAGATTTATGGATATTTTCACTTTAATTTGGTTTATTTTAATGTATGATTTCAGCAATTATTGTCCATACTTAAATGCATGACACAGTAAAATTAGTAAGGTCCTTGATTGGCCTACTCTAACCTAGCTAGAAACCGATAAGAGACCAATAAGAAGGGCTTGGTGGTTGATTTAATAATGATGTAAACCATTTGATAGTTAAGTTAGAAGGTACTTGTAAGAAAACTTAAAGAGACAATTGATTATGAAGAGAGAAAAAAGGAGATAAAATCTACAGTGCTATAAGCTCTTCTGAAAATAAATGTACTTTAAAATATAAAGTATAGATATAATTATTGATTAAAACATTAACCATAATTAAATTTATGATATAATATATAGACATGTATAATAAATTATAAAATTATTAAAATCTTAACTGTTAATTTTTAATCAATAAATACCTTATACTTTACCGATCATTTATACTGCTTTTACTTTTGAAAAATCAAATTTTGTATTCGGTACGTATAAACTTACTTCTCTCAAGCATATATATTGTTGTGAGTGTGTTTCTTAATAATGCAGCATAGTTCTTTTGGCTATAATTTTCAGCTTAAGAAATTAAAAGGCTGAAAAACAGTTTGTTTGCTTTTTTTCGAAAAACATAAAACTTGATGATTTGAAATAATTTATCTCGAAACAGTTTTCACCGAGAGAAGAAAAAACCTCGATGACAAGAGCACGGGCATAAACAATACCTAGATCCATGGATTTAAAATCTGGAGAAAGTTGAGCAGCTATATATTGCCATTAATTTTTTGAGATTACTTGGAAACTATAAACTGTGAAACCAACTCTTGTATTCTTAGGAACTTTAACCTAAGTTTCATCAGAGTTCCTTACTTGATTTACCAAGCTATACCATTTACGTATTACAAGAGTTATTTATAAAAATACCCAAAACGTATTCCTGAATGTTGTTATTTTTAATAAAATCTGGCAGAGAGAAATCAAGGAACGTAATGCGAGCTCTATATTAATTACATGGAGAGTCCTTTCTGGTGCCTTTTTAAGGCATAAAAATCTTTAATCTCTTACAACGAAAATAGTTCATCACAATTAACAAATTGTAGGAGCGGAGCTAAATAAATAAAAATCAGCGGGCATTCAATTCCTTATTAAATAAATGAAATAATACACTTTCACAGGTTATCGGATTCATGGATCAATTGAATTTGAAAGATCAGAAGCTGCTGAAACGGTAGACCCATGATAATCACTGAACCTCATGGAAAAAAGTTATATATATAAAGAAAGATTTTTTTATACCAATATAAGTATTAAAAACTTTTATATTTAATGAGTTTTTTTATTTAATTTCTATTTACTAATCGGTAAAATAATAAATAATATAAGAGTTTTTAACTTTAAATTAGTGTGAAAAGATGTTGCTGTATTAATGAATGAAAATGTTGCATCGATCTGGATTTGGATTCCAACTTAGTTGAGCTATAGACAAAAGCAATGGATCAATCCACGTCAATTCTCTAAAGAGGGCAGGATTGTGAATTAAGCGACTTGTAAATTTTCTTATCTATTTCCAGGGGCTTGAAGATGTAAGGTCCTTTTCTAAAACATAAGAAATGATGCTACCCCTCTGTCTCTTCTTTTATCTTGGCAAAAGTTAAAGTATTAGTTTAAAATATCAAAAAAAAAAATAATCGAAAGTGTTATTAATAAATTATATTATAACTTTTATTATATCTTAAAGTGTTTTT